GGTAAATGCACGAGGAAAACAGTGTACTATTTCTACTTGCAAATGCTAATAACCCAGCCTACATGTTCATTTTTTTCTGCTGCGGTTAGGTATTAGGAAACAATCAAAATTCTCTGATGAGGTTCCTCTAACTTCCATTTCATTACATCAGAGACGAAGTTGGTCCACAGTTCTCTGTCATTTGCTTACTGGGTCTAAAAGAATATAAACTGCATGTAATACTGACAGCGTACCAGCTTCCACTGGGAATGTCTCTGTATGCTTTAAAACTCACTACATCAGAAGTACTATACAGTATGTACCCCTTTGGATTACAGTTTTAAACTAATTTAATTAAAACAGTAGAAGTAGGTTGGCTTTCACATAGTGTAAAAGGAAAACTCTTTGCATAAATGCTTTTTGCAGTTTAAAAAAGAAAAGTCTAGCCCCATACTTTCCTGTGTTTGGTCACTGCAAACCAAGGTAGATCCTGATTTCAAAGACTAACTGAAATTTTGGGAAGGAACAAAGTCATAAAACTCTTCTGGACTAAAAGTATTCACAGCCACATAAACAAGGAAATGGATTTTATAATTAATTCAGAGTTCCCTGGCAAGCGCAGTGTTGTAATGTGTTGTAATCTACTGATTAAGTTCCAGTAAGAACACTGGCAATGGCTTGCTTTATCAATATCTGTCCTTTAACAGCACCTGAAAGAACCTGAAATTCTGAATCTCGGAATAACCACGGGCAGACTGTGCTCATCTGAGCATCTAGTCAACGCGGGGCAACATTTAGAGAGGGGTGAGTCCGTAGGAACAGGTTTTGTGTCAACCTTGGGTCCTGTTTGCTTCCTCTTCCTGTGTCCTCGAGCATCGTGTTTTGGAAACATGGTACTTTAAAGAAAATCACCGTTGAGAAGTTCAGGCTCAATGGGCGTTTGAAACCTTCCAGCAAAGCTTTTAATTCAGCAGGATTCTACTTCACAGAATGCTTTGCCATCTATCAGACCATTGGTCATGGCTGTTAATTAAATGAAAATGCAAAATAAATCTACAGTGCAGAGATACAACATAGCCAATTAAATATTCCAGTACAAGGTGCAAATGATAAAAAGCAAATGTCACCAAGGACAACCTGTATGATGTTAGAATACAGATCCTACCAGATGAGAAAATGTATGATTTCCCATCACGGGCCAGGAGGAAGAAAACCACTGACCCTGACCACTCAAGTCAGGTGTTGCAGAGGAGGCGGTGGTAAGGACATACGGGATGCGAGTACAGGCTTGGGGACTTTTGTGGATGTGGTTCAAGTTGAAACTCTTAGACTACCCGCATCTTATTTTCTTGACTCTTGATATGTGAACATCTGACTGCTCCTGAGTGAGTTCTTTGCCATACAGGCAAAGCATCATCCTTTTTTAAATATGGTTGTTTTAGTACAAAAGAACAACCTTAAAGAAAGCAAATGATAAGCAAGTAATGATGAGTGTTTGAAGTGACTGAGGGACTGTCAGTCCCCTGTATCTTTGTGAAGAGCTTTAATGGCTACGCTGTGAAGAGGGACGGCCTCTTTAAGTGGCTCTCTTCTTGGCAAGGTTAAACCAAACGAATGGCAATAGCTTAGCAGTTACAGCTAACTAAAGCACCTTATAGACAGGCATTATAATTTCATTAAAGATTTGGCAATCGGGGGCAATCTAAAGAATATAAATGGACAGAGGTGAGTAATCTTAAATAAGTTTCATGAAATCAAAGAAAATATTTAATGAAGTTACTTGCAAGAAACAATTTAATGAGCTATCTTGAGACAAGCAAATTAATGAATATTTAGAATCTTATATATGTAAACAATTCCACCTTTTCTACCTATTAGAAAGGTTAATCTTTTTTCTTGAGAAATACAGTCTGACAAAATCTATACTTGAAAGAAGAACATACTACTATCTTAAGTTATATCTTTCAATAGCTCATGAAACTCGTGTCACATAAAAAAAACTTTCTTACCATTAATGCTTCAGGTACACAGTTTATATACCTCAGATGTGTGTTTTAGCTTGGATTGCTAGTTGGTAGCTTCTTTCTTCTTTTTAGCTTTTGATTGTATGTTTTGCTCTTTTTAGAAGTTAGGAGCTTAGGTGAGAGTTGTACGAAGGGCTTCGTGCTCTTAAAACGGAGAAAATGGAGCAGAGTTAAATTTTAGAATATAGCAGGATGCTGGACTTGGAAATTTGCAGGGGTTATCTGTCCATGGAAATGTCTCTCTCTTTCTTTCCATTATTTTGATAAATGCAGATAACATCCCTGTCGAGACTCAGCCGAACTAAATATTAACTAATGCCATCCTTTAAACCAGTTTTGCATTCCTTAGATTTTTTAATAAAAGTGTAATTTCTTGACACGCAGCATATTAAAACATATTTAGCAAAGTTCTAATCGACTGCAGGCTCTTCTCCTCCTTCTTTCAAATGAGTCCAAACACTCTTTATACATATGTATGTGAATGTATTTATAAATAAATGTGTGTATAGGGCACTTGGGTCTTTAAAGCACGGACATGCTGGATGTAGACTGAATCAGCGTCAGAAACTATACTAGTAGTACAGTAGTATCAGGCCTTAGGCAGTGTTATTGCCACATTTATGTTCAGGCACAGCTAGTACTATCACATCTCAGTACAGAGAGATTAGTCTTGGTACTTTGTTCTCCCAACCTTATATCCCTTTCTAGCCCTGCACAACCCTTTCTGGAGCTGAAGACAAATCTTTTTGCCCACCACAAGCCAGTACTTCTCTTTTCCCAGCTATATTTTGGGTGAGAGGAGAGCTGTTGTGCTACTGAGGTCTCTGGTGAGAAGAAGTAAGGAGAAGTGTTTAAGCACAGAGATGGGGAGTAGAGTGAAAGAAAGTGGGAAAGTTCAGGAAAGGGACCCCAACCTTGGGGAGAGGCCAGAGCAAAAGTGATGAACTGTTATCACATATTACTGCTGTCAGAGCGAGTTAAAGAGAAACTTAATGTGCTCAAACAACAACTTTGTGCCATTTCTGCACGAGTGAAGATGGGTTAGGATCAGGTGGAAGCTTGATGGCCAAAGGTGGGATTGTGGCAAACTGGATGGAAATTGTCAGCTCCCGCCCCAAAACCCCCTATGGTAGAGGGATAAATGGGTGGATTTCTTCACGCAGTAGGGACTATATGCTTAAGTGATACTTGGAGCGCTTCAATGTGGTGTTCACACGATGGCTTGGGGAACCTGGGGAAGATACATATAATCTCCTTGAAGGAGTGAGAAGAAAACTTTACACACTTGGATTCCAATGGCTCATCAAGTGACAATAAGGGCGCAGTTATTTTATGTCACCATTATTTCTTACTTTTCAGTGCAAAAAACAACCCAAAGATAAAACTACTCCAGGGTTTTATGCGGATGAAGAATGGCAGAATAGCTCACCTGGTATTGCCCTCTTTGCAATAGTTTTTAGGCTGTTGGTTGATCTGTGGCTGGTGGCAAGTGATTGATATTCATATGCACATTTTCTTTCTAGTTTTGAAACCTTTTTTTCTCCCCACAGTGTTCCCTTGAGAGTAACATAACATGCATAGGCTTGCTCTGTCAGCAAAAAGTATGTTCTGCCTTTTCCTCCCATATCTGAGAGCCACATGCTTTCAGTGGCAGCGTAAGAGTTAAATTTCAGAGTACTGAAGGCGGCTGGACTTTGAAAATTCATCATGGACTGTAATAATTATTGATACTTAGCAGGTGGAAAATGTGCCCAGGACACAATTATTCCAGTACGCGGGAATGTCACAGGATAAACTGCTGCTGTGTCCCGTCATTCCTGCCATGGACATTTAGTGGGACTGAGAGAGGTAAATAGCCAGGCATGGCTGGGACTGGCCTTTGCTCCTCTGGGATGTGCTCTCAGGTGAGGGGTGTAAAAGCTTATCAAATTATCGGGCACCTTCAGACCTCGCCTGGGGCTACATGCTTGGAAATGTGAGTGGGTGTGCTGTGCTTGATTAGCGTCAATATTTTAAAATGAGGTGGATGTTGATGCAACAAAATACAGATTTTTTTAAGACAATTTGAAGGGAATTCTCTCCTAAAATAACAGGAGATGTTAATGAGCTTGCCACAAGAGGCTTAACCCAGGATGCTTATAGTCTTTTAGTGTGTGATTGTGTGACTGTTTTTAAAAAAATGTATAGACCTTTCAGAATTCAGGGGACTATTTTCCTTCCCCTTCTGATCCGGCCTTCCTTTCTCCCCACATACCCCGAGTTGTCAACTTTCATTCTCTACCGTGATCCCAGAAAGCACGAAGGCCGGGATCGGCGAATACTTTTTTTCTCAAGTAAAAATAGAAAGTAGGCAATGAAAAATAATTAAAAGATTTCAGGAAACAGCAGGGAGAACAAAAAAAAAAGAAGAGCCACATCTATCTTGCGTGCAGACAGTGACAGTCTAACTACATAAGATCATGGTTTCTTGCTAAATTATACCCGTGCGAACTATCGGAGCGTTGCACACAGGTAGGGTTTAGGAAGAGGCAGCAGCCCTCCCTCCCGCAGGTGCATCCAGCCTTTTTATCCCTATAGGCACCACTTTAATCCCCCCGCTACCTACACCAGGGTGCATGTGCTTCATGCGGCTGCCTGTAGCCGGCAGAGGGGCTCCCCC